ATTATCAGCGTTGTGTAACGTAACGTAATACAATGGGATGCCCCGCTATTCTCTCAAAGTAGGAGCCTCTCAGCCTCTGGCCTGGGCCGCCTGGCTTACAGCCGTAACACGAGAAAAAACCGCTACAGCCATCACCTAGTACCATCGGCCGTTAAGCTATTGCACTTCAGTCCGGGACACGCCCGTTACCGTCCGTTACCTATATGAGGCTATAGATGCAAATGGGCGGGTGATCCATGACACTAAGGCGAAACACTGCCAAACGGGGGAGATCCGTCTCAGACTGTCACCCTTACCTTTACATTGGGGGTGGACGTTTTATGATACTAAAGCGAACCACCGTAAACGGAACACCTAACGGCCAACCGCCGGAATACCCGTCCGTTACTGTTACGTTTACAGACACTGTTAGCGGGTGGATGGTTCAAGGCATTAGAACCAACCATTCTCGACTGATAAGCTAACGGCACAACGAGTCACAGTTACGTTTACACACCGTCTGCGGGTGGCTGATCAAAACGGAACAGCTAACGGCCAACCGGCGAAAACCCATCCGTTACCGTTACGTTTACAGACAATCAGCTGTGGCTGATTCATGACACTAGAAACGACCACCACTCTCATTTGATTAGCTAACGGCTCACCGTTGCGTTTACGTACTGTCAGTGGGTGGCTGATTTATGACAGTAGAACACCAACCATTCTCCACTGATTCGCTAACGGCTGACGGATGTGGATTGCCTGAATCATTCTACATAATCCCGGCCGTCTTCAGAATGTACTCCATCTTCGTGGCTACGTCCTGGCTGCTAAGTCTTACTTTCTCTTCGCAAACACAATAAGCAACAAGAAGGAACACCTCTCTCGCCGTTGTCTTCATCGGTTCAGCATGGATTTGCTCTTTAATGGCAGGATCGAAGACCTTGTCGAGATCGACGGTGTCCGCCTTGAGCAGGTTGTCAATCTGCTCGTTGATTAGGGTTACGTATTCGCCACGTTCCTCGTCTTTAACTGCGGCCTTTTTGCCAGTCAGGAGCTCCAATAGCAGAACTCCAAAAGAGTAGACGTCATTCGTCGGCCTCGGACTTCCCCCTTCGCCGTACTCGGGGGCAATGTATCCAAGCGTTCCCCAACCCGTCCTTCCTGTGGATGTATTGCCGGCTGTTTGTAGAATGTCCTCCAGCACATGGGCCAGACCGAAATCCGCTAGGTATGCCTTCAACTGCGTACCTTCTCCTTCTCCCAATAAGACATTTGCACTCTTCACATCGCGATGGATAACTCGGAGGTCGATTTCGAAATGAAGGTAGCGGAGAGCCTTGGCAATCTGAAACGCCACCACCAAACGCTCGACCAGGGTAAGAGGAGCGGAGGGACGTGTGAGGTGTACCAACTCCGCTTCGGGAGCGGYAATTGACCGCTTCTGCGGGCCACAACAGAAGGACAAGGACAAGAATGGCACGTCTCCTGCGGCGTTGCCTCCACCTGGAGGGTCTCCCCCTTCAGTTCCACTTCTTCCCCTGTTTGCATCCGACTCTTCTCGTCTTGCCCCTCCTCCTCCTCCTCCTCCTCCTCCTCCGCGTGCTCCTCCTTCTCCTTCCATTCCTCGTCCTGTTTCTCTCACTATTAGTGACGCTCCTGGCTCTTCGTCTGCCGCTGCTACGGTACCTTCTCCCCCTGGAGGGTCTCCCCCTTCAGTTCCTCTTCTTCCCCCGTTTGCATCCGACTCTTCTCGTCTTGCGCCTCCTCCTCCTCCTCCTCCTCTGCGTGCTCCTCCTCCTTCCGTTCCTCCTCCTGTTTCTCTCACTATTAGTGGCGCTCCTGGCTCTTCGTCCGGCGCTGCTACTACGGTACCCTCTTCCCCTGCTTCTCTCCTTGGCCCTTCTCTCGGTATTGCCCCTCCTGGTACTTCTCTTTCCAGACGTTCATGCCGTCCATGGAGTCGATCGTACAAGCTCCCGCCCGCCATGTACGGGTAAACCAATATCAACTCACTCCCATGCTGACAGTAGCCAATCAATCCACACACATTGCCGTGATGTATCCGGCTGAGCGTCTCCAACTCTGCGTAGAAGAGCTTTTCCGTGATTTTTGCCAGTGCGTCGCGCATGACCTTGACAGCGATCGGCCTTGCCGGTGAATTCTTACCCCGCAGTAATCCGAAGTAGACGGTGCCCCCCCCCCCCTTCCCAATCTGTCGAGACGGGTGGAAACTCTTCGTCGCTGCCCTTAAGGTCTTCAAATCAAAGACTTCGACGCCGTGGACTAGGACAGAACGTTCTCGCCCTCGGCGGCACTGCTGTGCTCTACGGCATAGCAGAGCGACTATCCCGATTAACAGAAGCGGCAGAGAAACACCGAAGAATACACCGACACCCAGCACGATGTTCTTCCCCCCTTCTCCGCCTCTGCGCCACGATTCCCCCCGCGATTGCGAGGAAGTGTCGTTGGCAGGGTTAGGCGAGATGGAGGAATCGGGATGAGCAGCGTTGGGGTAGGGTGACGAGCCGCTACGTGGGGCCGCATAAGGCTGCAGAGCTGACCTGTTGATGGTGAGCTGGAACACTTCCCCGTCCTCTGTGCCTAGCAGCAAGACGAGCTCTCCGTTGAAGTCTCCCATGGCCAAAGAATCCACGCCATATCCATAGCGTTTAGTGTACCGCGTGACGTTCGTGACTCTAATCCCGACTCCACATGGAGAGTCGAGCTCTATCCGCTTCACAAAACCTGTGTCTTTCTCGCAGACGACGATGTTCAGTCCATCCTCGGTGACGACTAGGTCGCTTAACTCTCCGAAAGATACGTTTAAAGCGTTGGAGATCACTATCTTACTCCCACTGCTGCTACCGTTTCCACTGGTGCTATCACTTCTACTTGTTATTTGCGGCGAGTAGGCGGGGGTGAATCCACGTCCAGCGACAAGATGGACCACATTAGACGAACGGTCGAGGGCCCAAACGCTGCCGCCGGGCTTGCGATCGACGAAGTGCAAGCACCTGCCATCGCGTGGGAAACTATAAGGCCCAAAGTAAATGGATGAATCGTCCCACTCGTGAAACTGATCGAACCAGAACAGAGGGGAGGGAGTGGAGAGTACCTGGCTGGGAATGTCGCCGTTGTGATCGAGGTTAATCGGAGAAGACAAGATCCGAAGAGGAGGTACCCCGCCCGTAGCGACGAACAGAGTGGTCATGTCGGGATCGAGAGCCATCCCGGTGGCGAAATCCACCTGCACCGAGACAGAACTCCTCTCCCTCGTCTCGGCATTGAGCGTGGTGAGCCAAGATCCCCGCGGAATTGCAGAATGGTATCCCGACAAGATCAGCT